GGCAAAGGACATACCTCTAAAAAGAGTATCTGTGGGTTTCTAGGCACTGTAGGTTAGCCATCAGAGAGGCCAATGCTCACAGTGAGCTAAAGCTGGCCAGGGAGGCTCACTACAACAAGAAAATCTTCTTCAGATACGTGAGGAGAAAACTCAAGATAAAAGAGGCAATGGGCCCACTGTTGGGTGAAAATGGAGACACTTTGACAGAGCACAGAGAGAAAGTAGAAAGGCTTATTGCCTATTTTGCTTCAGCTTTTTCCTGAAGAAGAGAACAGGCTGTACAGGATTAGCCCACCCAGACCAGTCCAGGGATGAGAGGGAATCCTGTACTTTTCAGTACATTAAACAACAAACCACGGGATGGTCTATACCTTCTCTGGTTTCCAGATAATTTGCCACCAGAACCTCTTTTTACTAGTCCCTGCTTTTCCTAAGGGAAGAGATTCCAAACCATTAGTTGGCATCTGGGACAGAACACATTAGCAACTCGGTCCAGAGATGAACACTTTTACTCATACAAAGGTAGCTTAAGTGGTCAGGGTTAGCCACAAGATTTAGCCTTGGAGTTCAAGTTACGACATCAGAGACAAATTAGCAATAAGAAGGATCTTTATTCAGTACAGAGCTTAGCAGACAGACTATAAGAGATTACTGAAAACAAGAAAAACCTATGGCTCTTTGCCGTAACTACACATTAAAGATTCATAGTTACCAATTCAGGAACATCCAACAGTCCAGAATAGTCTAAGGGATTTTGAAGGGAAATCCCATCTTTGCACACCCATGTGCTCCAAGTCACCAAGCAAGTCTTTGTTTTCCAAGAGACAGCATTTCAGGTGCAATAAAACAGGCAGCAAGAGCCTCAGAGCTAATAGAACAAGAGACTCGAGAACAAGAAGAAGCTCACTCCCATAGGGATCAAACAATTATACCCCAATCTAATCATGATTAGTTGTGGCCATTCAGCCAATCACGAGCAGCAGAGGTGTGTGGCCAATTTCAGGTTGCCATAGCTGCGTGTGGGGATAGGCTTTAAGTTTGGGATCCCGCCTGCAGTCATCTGACCTAAACTCCAGCTACTTCATTGTGTATGTGACTGGTCGCAAGTGAGCCAGAGTGTGGAGCCATAAGGTCTGGCTTTTGGCATGAAGGTGTGAAAGAATGTGGGTTTATGACATGGCTATTGAGGCCATGTGGCCTCACCATTTGGCTTGCAACAGGAAATAAGACACAGCTTGTTATCATAATGTAATCACAGGAGAAGGCATGTGGATATAGAAAGCAGAAAGCAATTTTTCTATACACAGGCACATCTAGAGATGGAAATAGGCAAGGCACAGTGTCCAGGCTGCTGGTTGACATGGACAGAGAGGTAGCTGAGAAGCATCTGGCTGCACTGAATGGATACAAATCTCCCAGGCCAGATGGAATGCACCCAAGAGTACTCAAAGAACTTTATAGAGAGCTTGCAAAGCCTTTGACCATTACCTTTCAGACCACTTGGAGGCTGGGAGATGTGCCACAAGACTGGAGGAGGGCAGATGTTATCCCAGCTTTCAAAAAAGGGAGGAGGAGGAATGACCCTGGAAACTTCAGGCCAGTCAGTCTGACCTCTGTATCAGGGAAGATACTGGAGCAGATTTTAAAGGGATCGATCTGTGAGCATCTAAAGGACAACTTGGTGATCCGGGGAAGTCAGTATGGATTTGTTCCCAACAGTTCCTGCCAGACCAACCCCATTTCCTTCTTTGATTGAGTGACATGCTTACTGGATCAAAGGTAGACTGTTGATGTTGTTTACCTGGATTTCAGTAAAGTTTTTGACAGGGTTCCCCATGATGTTCTGATGGGTAAACTAGAGGACTATGGACTGGACTCTAGGATAGTTAAGTGGATAGGGAATTGGTTGGAGAACCGCACTCAGAGAGTAGTCGTCAATTACATTTCATCTGAATGGAGGGAGATGTCCAGTGGGGTGCCACAGAGCTCAGTACTTTTCAATATTTTTATAAATGATCTAGATGAGGGTGTGGAGGGGCTACTCATTAAATTTGCAGATGACACCAAATTTGGAGGAGCAGTGAACACACCAGAAGGTAGAGATAGAATGCAACATCTGAACATACTGGGAAAGTGGGCGGATGTGAAGAAGATGCAATATAACAAGGATCAGGCCCGTAGCCAGGATTTCTTGTGTCGGGGGGCCTTTAAATTTCTCGGGGGGCACCTTATTGATTTGGTTAAAGTAAGTTAAATTAAGTGCCCCTTTCACCCAGCTGCATCTGATGGCCTCTTCCTCTCCTCTCCCCACAGAGGGGGCTTCCCCAGCCTGGACCCCTACCCCCCCACTCACCCTGTAGGCAGGGCAGGAGGGTGGTGGTGGAGAAGTGCACTGGTGCACTCGCCCACTTGGAGAGCTCCCAGCCAGCCACCCGCCGCTCTCCCTTTTACAGGAGCTGGATGGGGAAGGCAGATGGGAAGGTGAGGTTGTGGAGGAATGCGCGAGTGTGCTCACCTGCGCCCTGCTAGGAGACCCGTCAGCCAGTCAAGGCCGAGCGTGTACGGCCTGGGACAGAGGCGCGTTGCTGCAGGCTGCAGTGCAGCTGCCTCATCTCATCTCTATTCTCCTCCATGTGCTCCACCCTTATCGGCAACGGTGTCACTGCCATCTCCCCACTCCCTCCCCAAGCAACAGCAGCAGCAGGTCCAGGCCCGTAGATGGCTGTTTTCCCATTGTAAGAGCTGAGGGGAGTTGGGAAGGGAGTGCGCTGCCATGGGAGGGAATAGAGCTGCCTGGAAGTGAAGGGCGGGCCCCCTCCTCCTCCTCCACTGTTTCCTCTCAGAGGCAGCGCTGCAGGCTCCGTCAGGCGGGTGCCAAAGGTCTGAAGGTGACTCTGCAGCCCCCAATGTGCCCACTCACCATCCCGCCCTGACCATCAGCGCGAAGCCAGGTAGGCAAACAGACAGGGGCGCTCGCTTGCTCTGCCCAGTGTGGGGTTGGGGCTGGAGACGGCGAGGTGGCTGCTGGGGGTGGAGCGGAGCATGACGGGGTGAAGTGAGGCAAGGGAGGAGGGCCGCGCTGGGTCGCCGGGCACTATGCCCACTGGCCGGCTGGCGAGTGCATCTTGTCCGGGGCCTGCCTGCCTGCCTGTCCAGGGTAGTAAGTTGGGGGGCCCTGATGGAAAGTCGGGGTGCCGGGCCCCAAAATGATCCAATGTAGCTATGGGCCTGACAAGGATAAGTGCCAAGTTCTACATCTAGGTAACAAACATTAGGAACACACAGACTGGATGGGGAATACACTTCTGGGTAGCAGTATGTGTGAACAAGATCTTGGGGTACGGGTGGACCATAAGTTAAATATGAGCAGCCAGTGACAAAAAATCTTGGGGTGTATCAACAGAGGCATAACGTCCAAATTACAAGATGTGATAGCCCCACTGTATACTGCATTGGTCAGGCCACACCTGGAGTATTGTGTGCAGTTCTGGAGGCCTGACTTCAAAAAGGATGTGGACAGAATGGAGCGGGTGCAGAGGAGAGCGACAAGGATGATCGGGGGCTTGGAGACCATGCCCTATGAGGAAAGGCTGTGGGACTTGGGAATGTTTAGTCTGGAGAAGAGGAGGTTGAGGGAGCACGTGATTGCTCTCTTTGAGTATTTTAAGGGCTGTCAGAGGAGGGCAGGGAGCTGTTCCTGTTGGCAGCAGAGGATAGGACTCGCAATAATGGGTTTAAATTAAGGGCGGGAAGTACTGGCTGGAAGGAGGAGGAGGAGAAAGAGGAGGAGAAAAAGAAGAGGAGGAGGAGGTGGAGGATGGATCTATACCCCACCCTTCACTCGGAGTCTCAGAGCGGCTTACAAACTCCTTTCCTTTCCCCTCCCCACAACAAAACCCCTGTGAGGTAGGTGTGGCTGAGAGAGCTCTGAGAGAAACTGCTCTTTCAAACAGCTCTGATAGAACTATGGTTTGCCCATGGTCATCCAGCAGCTGCAAGTGGAGGAGTGGGGAATCAAACCCAGTTCTCCCAGATTAGAGTCCGCACACTTAACCACTACACCAAACTGGCTCTCTGGATATTAGGAAAAACCTTTTCACAGTAAGAGTTTTTCAACAGCGGAATCGGCTGCCTAGGGAGGTGGTGAGCTCCCCCTCACTGGCAGCGTTTAAGCAGCGGCTGGACAAACACTTGTCAGGGATGCTCTAGGCTGATCCCACATTGAGCAGTGGGTTGGACTAGATGGCTTGTGTGGCCCCTCCCAACTCTGATTCTATGATTCTGTGAGTACTCAGCATTGCTATGAGAGTGAGGCCTTGGTTCAGTTTTGAACATGGATAGGTTGGATGATTCAGGGAGAATTCCAGTCTAGAAACATCCCTGTTCTTGTTTCTTAGTTTAAATAATGTTCCCCAGAAGTCATATTGCAACCTTTCTGTCCTATTGTATCCCATCCTCCTCCCAAGGGGCTTAGGTGGCTGTCTGCTTCCCCCGCACAAGAACCCAGTAAGGTTCAGCTGCGGATGAGTGACAGGCTTAAATTTAAGAGGTAGCATGTAGGGATTAGAATGTCAGATTAGGATCTGGGAGAGCCAGGTTCAGATCCCACTCTGCCATGGAAATTTGCAGAATGATCTTGGGCCTGTCATACACATTCAACCTAACTTAACTCACAGAATAAAATGTGAGGATAAAATGGAGGAGAATGATGGAAGCCTCTTTGCGCCCCCCCCCCACTGGAGAGAAAAATAGAGTATGTCAGGGAAACATAAGGCTAGGGTTGCTAAATGGGCCCGGGGGGCGGGGAATCCCCCGCTTCGGAGGCCCAATTTCCGCCGCAGCGGAATTGGGCCCCTGGGGAAACCCCGCCCCCGAAGCTGCGTCACTGGAGTTGATGCAGCCACGTTGCTGACGTTGGGGGCGTGGCTGAGCTCGATGAGCTCGGCCACGCCCCCAATTTCAGCAACGTCGCACGTCACTTCCGGTGACGTGCTGCCGGCATGTCCCGCATCAACTCCCGGACCACGGCGAGGCTCCCCCGCCGCGAAGGGTAAGTCCAGTTGGCAACCCTACATAAGGCTGAACTCTGTGGGTTCCCAGGGCAGATGTACACAAGTTGCTTATAAAATGGTATTAAGTTTATTCAAGAAATATTAGTATAAGAAAAATTATTGCCAACATATTACTCAAAAATCTTATAGAACAAACTAGCTTCAACTACCTAACACTGTCTAGAATGGTGTCAGGGGGCACCAACCTTATTTCATTAAGAAGGCCTCAAATAGCATTATCTACATTTCTAGCAACTGCAGATCATAGCCTCAGCCTACAGTCCATAAAATTCTCAGCTAGCTTCGATGCTCTCAAGCCACAGTTCAAATTATAACTCATTTGGCCCACCCAGTCAGGCGATGGTGACATCCAGTCAAAACTTGTGTCCAAGAGAAATGTATAGAAGATTACCTCACCTCTCCCAGTGTCCCCCCTCCCATCACAGAGCACAGGTTCCCATGAGAAATCAATTAACCAACTTCCATCTTTGGCCTTGATGATAACAAGAAACTTGCAGGCCAGAAGACCAATTAACAACACCTGCAAATCATCTCAGACCCATCACCATTCGTATTAACCCTTGAGGGGATGGTGGGGAAGGTGCTTTGCTTCACAGAGTATAAATGAAGTCAATAAATAAATAAATTGGGTCCCTCATATTGCAATCCTAAGCAGAGTTGCACCCATCTAAATCCATTGAAGTCAGTGGCCTTAGAAGGATATAACCCTGCTTATGATCACACTGTTAGTGATCTTCATGGCAAAATAGAGATTCGAACTCAGGTTTCCCTAGTCTTAGTCCAAGCCTCTAATCACTACACTACAACAGGGGAGCCACACTGTGCAGCAGAAGAATAGAGAAAAGCCAATAGGTGCAATAGAATTGTTTACCTAATTGGTGATTAGATTTCCTGAAATGTGACAACCAATTTGCTAACATATCTTCTTGCATCTATTGATTTGCCTTTCCTCTACCCTTCATGTTCCATAAAAGAGAAATATATATATTTTTTCAGTTCCTATGAGTTGGAGAAATAATTACAGTTCTATTTATTTTTGAAAGCTCACATGGTGCACTTGGAAATAAAAAAAATGTGAATGTTTTGAAGCAAATCTGTGAAATATGTTGACATCAGCCGTGTCTTATTCAGGGTGTCTGAATACATTTCCAGTTTAGTTTAAAACTGGGATTTAGCAAAGGGTCGTTTTGTCCCTCTCAATTTATTCTTAATCTGTGGCACTGCCCAATAGAAATCTAGGAACTAGTACTGGCCTACAGGGTCCAGTTTGGTATAATGGTGCAATCTCAGACTACAGAGACCCAAGCTCATTGACTCACTTGGCCATACTGCAAACCAGGCCCATAGCTACAGTGAGGTATCTGGGGGCTAGGTTTACTAGCAAGGCCGCGTGACTTCCCATCCAGCCCAGAGCTCCCAAGCAGCAGCAGGTGTGGGGAAGGAGCCACATGTTCCTTTAATTTGATTAGCCAGTGCTCCCTAAGAAATTTAAATGCCCCCTGACTTTAAAAAAAAACCTTGCCTACAGGCCTGCTGCAAACTGAGTAATCCAGACCTGTTACTGTCTCTAGGCCTAACCTACTTCACACGGTTGTTGTGAGGATAAAATGATGGAGTAGAAGACTATGTATACTACCTCGAGCTCCTTGGTGGAAAAGAAAGATTTTTTTTAAAAAAAGATGGGTTCTGGAAATATCAGTGGTTTTCCTTGCAATGAATTTCCCCCAATGTTGATGGTCCTATGGGGTCTAGCCAGCTGACATTCCATTGCCCTTGACAGAGAGGCCATTTCTGCACTCTCCTTTTAATCCATGTACACCGCGGTGTCCTCCAAGCAATTCTGCACTAGAATCGAATTCAGCCTTCTTTTTAATCCTGGTTATTTTCCCCATTCTGCACTGAAATCGAGTCCAACCTTCTTTTTTCTCCATTCTGCATTACATTACCGCCTTTCAGTGGTCGGCCCGATTTCAGCCTGCTGTTGCCCCTGGTTATTTGGATGCTGGTTTGCCATGGACTTAAATTGAAGTGAGAATACAAGGGGAAAAGAGGTGGTGGAAGTAACTGAATTAAACCCAACATTGGTCCCAGTGCTACTGTCAAGAGAATGAAGGCATTGCAAAAACCATTGGTATTGTTAAGGTTAACTGAAATTGACATAGGATGTCTTTGATCAAATAGTTCCAAGGTGCTTTTCGTTTGTTTGTTTTGCTTTTGATGCTTTGATGATGGAGGCTGTGAATTTGGCTGGAGCAGTGGCACTTCACTTGTATACGTGTTTATGTCTTTTAGATTAAGGAGACTGCATTGGGGGGGGATGGTTAAACACCTCCTGCCAAAACTCAACTGCTCCTATCAAATTCATGACCCTTGCCCCTGCTTTATAGAGAAAAGGTGCTCCTGTGCCCTTAACCATTCCAATCCCCACTTTGCTTTGAAAGCTGGCTGGGCAAATCACACACTGCCGGCCTAACCTACCACAGAGGATTGTTGTGAGTCTAAAATCGAGAAAGAAAGAATACTTGAAGCCACTTTAGGCCCGTTGGGGAGAAATGTAGGTTATAAAGAAAGGAAATAAATAAATAGCAGCCCTTTGCTGATTTGCAGATAATAGCTTGATCCTTATCTCCATGCCCTGAAATGCTTCACCTGATCATTTATGCAGATCACAGGGCTGTTAAAAGCACACAAACAGATCACACCAATATTCTTCTCATCAGCTGGCAACCCTACAGAACTACCTGGTGCATATCTTTGCAGTCTGTTGCTAATGAACCTTTTTGTTCCGTGAGGGAATGGGTGCAGCAGATAAGGATTTCTTTCACATAATTTTCAGTTGGTAACTGATCTTGGTCTGTTTCCTATCAGGCAATTTATTTTAAGTGGCTTTATTAAACCTTGAGGTTGCTAGGATACGCTTCTTTAATAACTCTACTGCAGATGAAAATACAAGCAAGCCGAGATGCTACAAATTAATACAAAGTACTAGACTTGTGTGGGACATATTCCATTTTTTGCACTGAATCCAGCCCTTGGGGAACAAGGTGAATGACATGTTTTTGAACATTTGAACCAGCTTGCTGTGGTATTTCAAGTTGTATCTCTAAAGTTTATCCAATTATGCTTGTAAAATTGTCTCAAGATTATTTTAATAATTCCACCAGAGATCTAATACTTCTAGTAATAAAAGTATAAACACTTAATGAGCTTAAAGTTAGATGTGAGGTCACCAACAGGACTGCAGAAAAATGTCCTGCCCCTTTAATGGAAGCTTAATGGGTAGAAACAGGCAGCTGAAACCTTTCATGACACACAAGTATGCAGGGCTTTTTTTGTCGAAAAAGCACAGCAGGAACTCATTAGCATAACAGGCCACACACAACAGCAGAAATGCATTAGCATATTAGGCCACACCCCTGACAGAGCAGCTCATAAGCATATTATGCCACACCCCATATTACCAGAAGTGTGGTCATCCAGCCACACTCACCTTTTGCTTCTTATTGTTTACCTTGTTTGTTGTCAAAACCCAGGGCTTTTTTTGTAGCAGGAACCCTTTGCATGTTAGGCCACACACCCCTAATGTAGCCAGTCCTAATGAGTTTCTGCTGTTGGGTGTGGCCTGTTATGCTAATGAGTTCCTGCTGGGCATGGCCAACTCGAGAGCCAGCCGGAACTCTGTTTCTGTGCGTTCCTGCCCAAAAATAGCCCTGCAAGTATGTAATATCACCTGATAAATAACATCCCATTAAGCATTTGTTACAGAGCATGTTCTTTTCCCAGGCCTGTTGGCACCCCTATTTAGAGCTGGTGAGTATTGCAAATATTCTCAAAAAGCACTTTCTTTTTTTGTATTTAGGGGTGAGCATAAAATTGTATGCTGAATGGGAAGGGATGCATCCTAAGGGTATTTTCATTTTCAACTCATTTCAGTTTTAAAATATGTTAAATAACTTACTATCATTATTATCAATATTTGTTTTCTTTATTATACTGCATTTGTTATTGATTCCCATTGTTTTTTTAATAGGAAAACCTATTTCTGGCTTTAACTTTTGCTCCCATTTTCATTCCAATTGAGATAAAATTCTCAGGTATTGTACCCATCAGCCAAAGCATTCTCCTTTCCAAATTTCAGGCAGATAGCAGAAAGCATTGCTGTTTAATATGCAATGCAAATTCTCGTTTGCAGAATAGGTCTAGGGTGTCATTTGGTAAACCAACTGTACAAGCAGTGGCTAGAAATAATGTATCTATACAAGTCTGACTGTCCCTGTATAAAGAAGGAAAAGGTGAGCCTGGCTGGGAGAGCATGCCTCAAGAACAGCAAAGTGCTTGGGAAATAGGCAGGATTTAGCCCTCCTTGTTCACATATAGGGATGGCCACAAACTGCATTTTTGCAGTTCAGTTCAGTTCATGGCTGAACCACAAACCGAACCACAAACCAATATGAACCAGGAGGTTGGTTCATGAACTCAAGCGGTTCATGACCCATTTAAGGTTTACACCCCTGCTTTCTGTTCCCCACTGCTTTTCACAGGCAGCAGAAAGCAGGGGTTTAAATGGCTCTGTTATGTATTGATCCAGGACAGCACCAGGAATTGACTGAGCCTGAGTTATCTGGGCCGCCAGGATCCTGGATGGACCTATTGATTTAGGGTTGTACTGTAAATAGCCAATCACGGGGAGTGGTTGTGTGTGGGGTGTGTTGTTCTGCATGAATATAAGCAGGGTTCCTACCCTGCAGCTTCTGTCTTAGAGTTAACTGAAATCACTAAATAAATATGAGCTGCTCACTAAACACGTATCGAACCCAGTATATTATAGGCTCTGAGCCATTTAAACCAAACAGCTGAGCTGTTTTTCATGAAGAACAGAAAGCTCTTCAGAAACCACCATGAACTGCATCAAAATTAGTTCATGTTGGCTCTTCAGTTAGCGAACATTGCTTTGTGAACCATGAACTGGGCAAAATTG